GGTAAGGAAATTTTGTAGTGTTTGTAGAATTTTAGAGAAGTCGGTTTGACTATACGGTTTGGTCATTGTGTAATTTTGAAGTCAATTGTGCACTACTGGAACTAGATTCGAACTAGTGGCGCTAGTTTTCCATAAATCAATCTTAATTTATATCCGGTAGTCTCTGAGAGAAATCTCTACGCAAAGCTTCAATTGCCATTGCTAATCAACATGTTGTAATTCTGCAGCTCGTTCATTCCCAAGATTAATGGAACAAGCCGTGGATTCACATGATATGATTGCTAATGGCAACAAATAGAGCACCGCTACACAAAGATTGATAGATGGATGACTTGTGCATCATGTGGCTCCCCGCAAGCAACATGGCCGAGTGCATGGGTTGTGGTCGAGCCAAGCGGCCATAGACACAAAAAAAAAATAATTGGTGAGAACATTAGATGCAACTTACATGCTTTCTTTCTTCAATAGATATTCATTTTTCGTTTCATTGATGAAATTTCATTCGTATATAATCGTGATTTTCATCTCTTCCTCCTTTTTTTTTGTCCTCCTTCTATTCTCATCATAATAATAATTATTTGGACACTATGTCAACCCATTCTAATCATTCATAAATTATCCCCTTTTAAATGTCGTGGGGAAAATTACTAGTAAGTTTGTAAATCATGCGGATGAAATTCTTTAGAAACTCCTTAACCGGGCACTACTTTTGATATATTTAGGTGCTGCATGAAAACCATTCTGATTCTGTCCAGAACTGGTTTTTTGTTCCCAAGATCAGTTTTGGACCAGAAACCCGTTTGGTAACGCAATTTCATTTTTCTATTTCCGGGACAAGTTTGCTTCCAAAACTGATTCTGAAACTAGAAATGAGAACCAAAAAAAAGTTGGTTTTTCATTTCTGGAACAAAGGTGAGAACCATTTCTGAGGAATTCATTCTCTTCAACACACATATTTATATGGAAGTCACGATCTTTGAGGTGAGAAAAAAAAATCAAAAAATCAAAAATTTCAAAACTTAACAGAATGGTTTAGAATCTGTGGCTACCCACTTTCAGTGAAATTTAAATTTTTTTAGGTACCGAAAAAAAATAAAAAATAAAAAATTTCAAAATTTCACAAAATGGCTTAGAAAACCTATGGCCACCCACTTTGAGCAAAATTTAATTTTTTTAGTTGCCAAAAAAAAATAAAAAATACTAAAATTTAAAAACTTCACAGAATATCTTAGAATACTTGTGGCCACCCAATTTGAGCGAAATTTTATCTTTTTAGGTGCCGAAAAAAATAAAAAAAAGCAAAAAATAAAAAATTTCAAAACTTCACAGAATGGCTTAGAATACTTGTGGCCATCCATTTTGAGTGAAATTTAAATTTTTTTAGGTGCCGAAAAAAATAAAAAAAATAAAAAATTTCAAAACTTCACAGAATAGCTTAAAATACCTGTGGCCACCCACTTTGAGTGAAATTTAAATTTTTTTATATGCCAAAAAAAATAAAAATAAGCAAAAAAGTAAAAATTTCAAAACTTTACAGAATGGCTTAAAATACCTGTGGCCACCCACTTTGAGCGAAATTTTAATTTTGTAGGTGCCGAAAAAAAATAAAAAAAAGAAAACATTTCAAAACTTCACAAAATGGCTTAGAATACCTGTGGCCATCCACATTAAGCGAAATTTAAATTTTTTTAGGTGCCGAAAAAAAATAAAAAATAAAAAACTTCACATAATTGCTTAGAATACCTGTGGCCACCCACTTTGAGTGAAATTTAATTTTTTTTAGATGTCGAAAAAAAAATAAAAATAAGCAAAAAAGAAAAATTTTCAAAACTTCACAGAGTGGCTTAGAATACATGTGGCCATCCACTTTGAGTGAAATTTAATTTTCTTTAGGAACCAAAAAAAATAAAAAAAAATCAAAAATGCCATTTGGGCATCTAAAAAAAATTAAAATTTACTCAAAGTGGGTGGCCAGAGGTATTGTAAGTCATTCTGTGAAGTTTTGAAATTTTTGATTTTTTTTATTTTTTTTCACCTAAAAAAATTTAAATTTCACTCAAAGTGGATGGCCACATGTATTCTAAGTCATTCTGTGAAGTTTTGAAATTTTTGATTTTTTGCTTTTTTTTTCACCTCCAAAAATTAAAATTTCACTCAAAGTCGGTGGCCACAGGTATTCTAAGCCATTCTCAGAAAGTTTTGAAATTTTTGAGTTTTTGAATTTTTTTGGGCACCTTAAAAAATTTAAATTTCACTCAAAGTGGGTGGCCACATGTATTCTAAACTATTCTGTGAAGTTTTGAAATTTTGATTTTTTGATTTTTTTTGGGCACCTAAAAAAATTTAAATTTCACTAAAAGTGGATGGCCACAGGTATTCTAAGCAATTATGTGAAGTTTTGAAAATTTTGATTTCTTGAAATTTTTTGAAAAAATTCAACAAATTTCCTATTTTCCCGAAATCTAAATTTTTTTTATTTTCTCGACATTTTGATGATTTTTTTCTGGAATTTTTCAATTTTTTTGGGATTTTCTGAATTTTTTAAAGATTTTTATGAATTTTTCCGATTTTTTATTATTTTTATTCCATTTCTAAAAAAATGGATTTTTGTTCCTGGAAATAGAATTTTCTGTTGTTTATCAAACGGGTTTTTATTTCGGAAATAGAAATTTTTGTCTTGTTATCAAACGGGTTTCGTTCTAGAAATAGAAATTTTTGTCATTATCAAACGGGTTTTTTCTCGAAACTCATCAGGGAACCAGAAATAGAAAAATCTATTTCTGGTTCAGGAACTCATTCCGGAACAGAATGGTTATCATTCGCTACCTTATCTTTCAACTTCACCAACAAGACTATCATGCAAGTTTGACAAATATTCATAATTGCCCTATCAAGCAAATCCTCCCAAATTATTATCTCCTTCCATTATTATGCACTAATACGGAATTACTTAATTTTATGCATTCACGCAGCGCATGCTTAGATTCTAGTCTATATTATTAACTCAATACACAATTTTGTCTCACTTTTAACTTCCCAAAATCACCCTTGCAATCAGCGATACCTCCCGCTTTCTATCTATATATAAGCACCCTAAGTAAAAAATTTCTAATATGCATAATCCACTATACGTGCGCCCCCTTACCCTAGTATGAGACAAAAGCATAAATCCGACGCTTAACTTATATTTCAAGTGTATAAAGTAAGTCGATTTCATATGGCTTAAATATGTGATGCTAAAGCCTGTTTCTTCAACTCTCTCACGAAAACAATGCGTGCATTGTTGACAGTTTATGTACTAGTGCAAAAAATTTTCATGTAAAGGCAATAAGTAAAGAATTGTTGCTTTCATTATGTGTAGAATGTTAAAATTTTCATAGTTGTAATGATTTTAAAATAATTGTTTCCAATTGCTTTTCAGAGAAATTGTCGCTTAATAATTCACTATTCGCATAATAGATCGTCACTTGCAGATTAAACTTCCCCAAATCAATCTAAAATCTTATATCCAAGTGTCGCGGAGAAAAATCTCCACACGTAGCTTCTATTTTCCATCGAAACTACACGTTTGGTTACCGAGATAACCGAGAGAATTCTCTATGCTCTCATTGATCTAATGGAAGGAGACGCAGATTCAAAAGATATAATTGGTAAAGGCAACGAGTCAGGAGAAAGATCAGGAACATAGTGATTGCTTTAGGTAAGAGTGAATCCTACGAGTCAAGAAGGCCTTAGTCCAATATAAAGAAAATGGGCCCTGGCCAGCCATTAGGGCCCATGGGTGTGGCAGGCCTCTGTCCAAGCACGGCCCGTTGTTTCTTCCGGGCCCGGCAAGGCACGGCCCAATTGCTCATCCAAAGTTCCGGTGAAGGGAATGGAGGGTGCTGTTCACATTATTCGGGGAAAGTTGGGTGAGAAATTAGTTTTATGCCCAGTGATAGCAATATAAGGGTCCTAAGCAGGGATATTTTTAATTTTGTGACAAAAGCTGTGCATACTGTGCTACACATATTCTTAGAGACAGTTTTCTTCTTGATCCATTTACAGAACATCGTTCTAATGAAGTCCCACTTCGAGCTAATCCCAAATATTTAATCTCTTTCACGTCGTCATCTGCATAATTTCACATTACCAAATACTGTTGCGATTCAGACGTTCACTTGCTTTATAGCTAGCCAAAACAATTTTTGGTGGCAAAAGTTAATTCTCATGTTGTTAGATTTTCATAATATTGAAATACAAATCTCATGGTGTCCACCTACTTCAGAATAGCTTGATGATGCCCGAACATTTACATGCGATCCATTAGAAAAATCTAAATATATATGGCTAAGGACATCCGTTTTTTTCTGTCGCCATAATACCAATTCACTAAAAGGCTGGGTTTTGATAGAGAGTGGACTCCGACAATTTGTTAAACATGTTCAATGAGATAACATTCAATTTTAATAATAAAGATTGTTAATATCACCAAAATCGATTGATGGAGCCGCTCTATCGAAAGGAAAGGAGCGCAAAATCGGAGAGAAGGGAGGAAAGTTGATCTCCGATCCGCATTGATTTCCAATTTTAAGATTGAGGCATGAATATGTGCGGGAAGAACTGGCCAACTATTATTGTTTCGTGCCTTTTTTTTTGTCAAACAAAATTTATTGAATCTGAAAATACTTCAAACATCAAAGCCCACGTCAAGGGCATCAAAACAAAGTAGTAGATCCCAAAGAAGTTGGGGGTTGGGATACTCAATTTGAGGGTAGATTTTTTTTGTCTATAAACCTTTCAAATTCAGTCCGCCACATTATTGGACTTTTTTGTGCAGTAGGCTAGAGAAATGTTCTTGAACCGGCCCATGACCCTGCGAACTTCCACGATAAGAGCACGTGCTTCCCAAGTACCATGATATGAGCTGTTAAGCACGTGAACTAAAGACAGGCAGTCAGATTCTAAGTACGATATCTTCTTCTTTCTTTGTTTCCAGGAGAGAGAGAGCAGCGAGGGTTTCGGCTTGACTCGCGGACGACGCCGGCACCGTTCTCGCTACTTCGTCCACCAGAGTTCCCGACGCATCTCGGACAACAACAGCTACTGCGCCCGAGTTCGATCCTTCTATATAAGAGCCGTCGAAATTCGCCTTTAAAGTTCGTTCCTTTGGAGGATACCAACATCGAGGTAGGGCTTCTCCTTCTGAATTAGTTTCCTTTTCTTTGTGATTCCACTTGCGCCAATTACTGAGCATATTGTGCGCTGATTCAACAAGGATTTCTGGATTGGGGCGTTTTGTTCCGGAAAATGAAATCGTTTCTCGCCCACCAAATAAACCACAGAACAGCCGCAACAACCTCGAACGACGGTAGATCTACTGATTCTTCCTTGAATTTCAGTAACCATTCTTCGATTCTCGACAACCCTACTCGTGATATCTTAATTTGCAATGCAGAATTCGCCCAAATCAGCGAGGTCCGAGGGCAAAGCAAGAACAAGTGTTCTATTGTCTCGGGTTTTGAGCTGCAAAAGGGGCACAAGGCTTCAGGTAGTATGTTTCTTCTGTATAAGTTGGCTTTGGTAGGGATAGCATTCTGACATAGACTCCAAATAAAGATTCTGATTTTGGGAGGGGTTTTCATATGCCAAATTTTGTTCCATAACTCACGGGGTGGCTGATATGATGTTGATGTTTGCTCTCCAGTGTTTTGCAAAACTGCTTTTCGATCTTTATTGTAAGCACTCTTTACAGTGAAAAGACCCGATTCTGTACCTGTCCACACCAATCTATCTCGAGCATTCTGAGTTTTCAGAGGAATAGTTAGTATTTCGCTAACTATTTGTTCATCAAACAGTCTACGAAGCTTTTGTTCATCCCATTTATCCTCCTCCTTAAAAATCAGTTCAGAAACTCGAGTAGGTTCACCACAGTTCGCAGGTCCTCCAATGATGCCTCTCTTAAGCCATTTGTCTTCTCTTATCTTAATATCATCTCCATTTCCTACTGACCACATCACTGAAGGTGAAATAGCTTATCTACCCATTAAGATACTCTGCCAACCCTATGAAGGTCGGGTACCTTTTCGAGCATTCCAAAATGATCCATGAGGGAAGTAGATCCCTTTTAAAATCTGACACCATAAAGAAGGTGTATTATGAGAAAGCCTCCAGGCTTGCTTCCCGAGCATAGCCTTGTTAAGATATTAAGTCTCTGAAGCCCATTCCTCCCGAATCTTTCCTCTGTTTTAACAATTCCCATCTTCTCCAATGCAACCCTGTTTTGGAATCACTGTTTTTCCACCAAAAAGAAGCTATTCGCCTTTCAATGGATTTCCAAATAGAAACTAGAATTTTAAAAATAGACATGGCATATTGCGGCAATGCTTTAACCATTGTTTTGAGTAGGATCTCTTTACCTACTTTTGTGATCAAGTTTTCCTTCCACCACTCTAATTTCATATTAACTCTGGCTAATATCCACGCAAACATTTGCTTTTTAGAAGTTCCCCATTCGGAGTGAATTCCCAAGTACTTCCCCGTCTTTTCAACTTCAGGGACTCTCAATTCATTCGCCATATTCCTTCTCAAATTATGTGGGCATCCTTTGCTAAAGGATATACCGGACTTGTTTAAATTGATAGCCTGCCCTGAAGCATAGCATTATTGATTCAAAATTAAAGCAAAGTTCTGACACTCTTGTACCTTTCCATCCAAGAAAAAAATGGAATCATCCGCAAATAATAAATGCGAGAGGGTTGGACAATGTCTGTTTAATTTTATCCCAGTTATAGTGCCCTCCTCGATTGCTGATTTAATTAGACTTGACAATGAATTTACCATCAAGATAAAGAGATATGGGGAAATTGGATCACCTTGTCGAGCCTCCCATCTCAAATACAGCCTTTTGCACCTCCTCCACTGTCACTTCAGCAGTTAGCTTCTGGTTCATTTCTTCCGTAACAAGGACCGGACATTTTTGTATAACTTGTTCAAAATTTTGGGTGCCGACATTGCTATATAACTCTTTGAAGAATTCAACCGTCATCTCTTTGAGTTCTTTAGGCTCCCGAGTCCAACTCCCTTCTGACTTTCTCAATGCTGAGATTCAATTCCTCTGCCTCCTTTCAATTGTCGTGGTGTGAAAGTACTTAGTATTCTTGTCGCCCCATTTTAGCCAATTGATTCTTGAACGCAAACCCCAATACATCTCCTCTGGCCTCCAACATTGCTCAATTTGTTCTGATAGTTGTTTCACCCTATCCCTTTCAAAATTCAGATTTTGTGAATTGATCAAAAGTTGGAGTTCCCCTTTTAAGGCAGCAATTTTCTTTATATTGTTAGGGAATGCCTTTTTGCTCCATTTTTCCAGCTCTTCAGTTTACTGGTTAAGCACACATTGGCAATAGTTGGTGAGTTCCATACTTGCTTTACAATTCTTCCACACTCTTCATTTTCAAGCCAAAATGCTTCAAACTTAAACATCTTTACTCTCTTAACTGGTACTGTTGAAAATGACATTAGCATTGGGCTATGGTGCGAACCGATGGCTGGTAATGCAAATGCTTCGGTTTCTGGATATAAAAGTCTCCACTCTAAATTGCTAGTTACTCGATCCAGCCTTTCTTTGATATATTCCTTCCCTTCACGATTATTAGCCCAAGTGAAGGCACATCCCTTGCTCTCCAAGTCTATCAATTGACATGCATTTAGGAAATCTCTAAACGCATTTAACCTGTACGTCTCCACCATTCTTTTACCCACCTTCTCCCAATGACACAAATTTCATTAAAGTCTCCTAAACATACCCAAGGTAATTGCACATCCCTTGCTCTCCAAGTCTATCAATTGACATGCATTTAGGAAATCTCTAAACGCATTTAACCTGTACGTCTCCACCATTCTTTTACCCACCTTCTCCCAATGACACAAATTTCATTAAAGTCTCCTAAACATACCCAAGGTAATTGCTCCTGCACATTTAAGCTTTGAATTTTCTCCCAAAAAACCAATCGTGCCTAAAATGATGTTGGAGCATGGATAAAAGTCAGCCTACTCTTCTCTCCTCTCTCGGGATCTTCATATATAACATCAACATACTCATCAGCCGCTGAATCTACCCTTAAATTATATCCATCATTCCAAAACAGAGCCAACCCCTAGCAATTCCAATTGGATTCACCACAAAACAATTCTGAAACTTCAGCCTTCATCTTACTCTTTGGATAATAATCTCTTGGTTTTTAGTTTCCATTAAAAACACCAAGTTGAGCCTTTCTTGAGCCATAATGGCTCTCAAAGCTTGGATTGCCATGGGTGTGCCCAATCCCTAACAGTTCCAACAAATAAGTTTCATTTGTCCCCCGGTGGCTTATTAGGGCTAGACACTAAAGCCCATTTTCTAGAATCTATCGCCTCTTGGATCGGGGTATCCATAAGTAGACTTTCGTCCAGTATGTGCTGAGAGTTACTTTGCTGTTCATAAGGAGAGAATCTCCTGCCTTTCTTATTTATCGAGGTTGTCTTTCTCTGTTTCCTAAGTAGCTTTTCCTTGGCAAAATGTGATGCAGGGAGCTCTACTGGCCAAGTAAGGGCCATTGCATTAGAATGAAAACCTTCCGTTATTGGTTCAGCTTCATTAATAGCCATGCCAACTTCAGTGAGTTTTCTTTTGCCTCTCTAATCCTGTGGGGAACTTCTCTGGACCTGAGTTAGTGGTCCAGAATTTACTGGAGTTTCGGGCACAATCTTGTCCATCACATCCTCCTCTGTTTCCTCTCCATAAAATGCCTCCCAGAAAGGACTATAGACATTTGTTTCAGCTTTCAGCCAAGACCCAATAAAGTATATGTGACAAAGCTATTTTGAGAATTGCGGTAAATAGACAAGAGAGAAGATGGAAGAGAGGAGAAATAGAGAGAAGAAGAAAAGGGGAAGAAACAGATTGTAAAAGCCAACAAAGGGCTGACGGCTTCAGTTACTGAAGCCCTACTCCTATTGCTTATAGTGAATATAAATTGTATATGACCAAAATACCCTTATGTAGATAAAAAGAAATAAAACCCAGAAAATAAAATTAAAAGCACTCAAGTAACGTAACACTTCCCCTCCAGCTGGAGCATAAAGGTCACCCGTGCCCAGCTTGGAACAACCAGCAACAAAGACAGGATGAAACAACGCTTTAGTGAACATACCGGCAAACTGATCTCTAGAGGCAACGTAAGGAGTTGCAACCAACTTCCACTTCACAGCATCACGAACAAAGTGACAATCAACTTCTATATGCTTCGTTCACTCATGAAAAACAGGATTTCTAGCTATATAAATAGCTGCTTGATTATCACACATCATATCAATAGGTTGATTAATAGAAAATCCAAGCTCCTGGAGAAGGGATTTCAACCACAACAATTCAGCCACAGTATGTGCCATAGCACGATATTCAGCTTCTGTACTAGACTTGGCAATGGTAGTCTCTTTTTTGCTTCTCCAAGTAACCAAATTACCAACAAGAAAAGTGCAATACCCAGTCGTAGATCGCCGATCACATGCTGACCCAGCCCAATCAGCATCAGAGTAGCCAACTAGATTGGAAGAACTATTCGGTTTATAAATCAATCCCTTACCAAGAGAGCCTTTAAGGTACTGAAGAATGCGACAAACAACATCCCAATGAGCCTTCTTGGGTGACTCACTACACCAACAACAAAGGAAATATCGGGTCGTGTAACACTAAGATAAATTAGTTTCCCAACTAGACTCCGATATCGATGCTCATCTTCAATATCATCTCCATCATCAACTCCAAACTTCCAAGTGTGGTTTCCACCAGTGTTATTCTGATCATTCTGTTTTTGTTCTAAAGGAGTTAGGAGTGATCGTTCTTGTTGTATATGTAGATGATATAATTGTCTCTAGCAGTGATGTGACCGGCATTTTTGAAGTCAAGTCTTTGCTTCAACAGCAGTTTCAGATTAAAGACTTGGGAGCTCTTAGGTATTTTTTGGGTATTGAAGTTTTACGAAGTAGGAAAGGTATTAAGTTGTCTTAGCGAAAATATGTTCTTGATCTTTTATCTGACACTGGTAAACTAGCTTCCAAGCCAACAGAATGATCAGAATAATACTGGTGGAAACCATACTTGGAAATCACTGAACTGAATTTCTCAAACCATGCTCTTAGAGACTGTTTCAACCCATAAATGGCCTTATGCAGCCGGCATACTTTACTACGATTCTCCCCTTGAGCAACATACCTAAGAGGTTGCTCCATATATACTTCTTCAGATAAATCACCATAAATAAACGCATTATTCACATCTAATTGATATACCGGCCAATCATAATTCACAGCAAGAGAAATAATTACATGAACAGAATTGAGACGCGCCACAGGAGAAAATGTCTCAAAATAGTCCACCCCATAAATTTGATTGAGTAAAACCTTTAGCAACAAGTCGGGCCTTAAGACGCTCAACTGAGCCATCCGGGTTGTACTTGATGGTGTACACCCATCGACACTTCACCACATCTTTCCCAGGAGGAAGATCAACCAAAGACCATGTCTGTCGAGACACCAGAGCTTCCATTTCCACATTCATAGCTCTCTTCCACTCAAGATGAGACAAGGCCTCAGTGGTAGAGGTAGGAATTGTGTGAGTATGTAATGATAGAGCAAAGTCATGTAATGGGGAAGGAAGCTGTGAAAGAGACACATAGCGCTCGATAGGGTAAGCAAAAGAGGATTTTTGGGTACAAGAACGAGTACTTTTGCGAAGGGCAATTGGAAGATTGTTCGGACCAGGAGACAAGGAGGGAGATTGGACGGAGGGCATGGAAGAGCTGGAGATTGGTGGTGCCGTAGACTGCTTTCATCGCTGATACACCTGCAAAGGAGGAGACACGGGAGAAGGACTAACAGAGTCTAAAGGGATAAGTTGTGGGATAGGAGGATCGGCCACAATGTCAGTTGAAAACTCTTTACCCTTATCAGAATAGTATGGTGTGTACTCGAAAAATGTAACATCAGCACTGACATATTGGGTACAAGTCAAAGGATCATAACACCGATATCCTTTTTGAGTTCGTGAATACCAGAGAAAAACACATTTGGAGGCACGAGGGGATAGTTTATCAACACCGGAACGTAAGTTATGGACAAAACAAACACACCCAAAGACATGAGGGGTAAGAGGGAATACTGGCTTGTCAGGAAACACAACACTAATAGGTGATTGATTATTGAGAACAGTGGAAGGCATACGATTTATGAGGTAACAAGCAGTAAGGATAGCATCACTCCAAAATGATTTTGGGACATGCATATAAAACAAGAGTGAACGAGCAACTTCTAGAAAATGACGATTCTTTCTCTCGGCCACACCATTCTGCTGAGGGGTATAATGCCAAGATTAGAACAAAACAAAGAAATTGATTTCTGTGAGTATTCTAGAGCATTATTAGTTCGTAAAATTTTAAGGGATGTATTAAACTGATTAGTAACTTCACGATGAAATAATTTAAAAACAGATAATAATTCAGAACGATCATGAAGCATATAAAGCCATGGTAGACGAGAATAATCATCCATAAAAGTAACAAAGTACTTAAAATCATTTCTACTATCAATACGCAAAGGTCCCCATATGTCCAAATGAACAAGTTCAAGTAAAGTAGATGCACGAGAATCACTACGACTAGGAAAAGAACTACAATGATGTTTCCCAAGTTCACACGCCTCACACTCAAGAGTAGAAACTGATTTACACTCGGGAATTATTTGTTGTAACTTAAATGAAGATAAATGTCCTAAACGGGAATGCCATAATACGGGGTAGTAGAACTAGCAGTTAAACCATTGGCGTCAGCAGTAGAGACACCATCCAAATAGTAGAGTCCATCATGTTCATGCCCTCCACCAATCGTCTTCTTTGTCTGAAGGTCCTGAAAGATGCAAGAAGAGGGGTAAAATATAACAGAACAATCAAGAGCTTTAGTTAACTGACTAACAGACAACAAATTCAAAGGAAGTTGGGGAACATGTAAGACAGAGGACAAAAATAAGGAAGGTGTGAGTGAAGCATCCCCTGATCCAACCACCTGAGTTGAGGAACCATTAGCTAAAACAACTTCAGATGATGAACTATGGTGGGAAGAAAATAGTTCTTGCTTACCCGTCATATGACTAGAAGGTCCTGAGTCAATGACCTAGGTGCTAGGAGACAATGTAGAGAAAAAGGCCATGTTACCTGTACGTGCAAGAGTTGTAGTGGATGAGGAACTGGAAGCCTCTAGTTGCTGGACATGCTTGATAAGTTGTGAAATCATATCATCCCGAGCCATAGACTCTGAAGAATTACCCCCAGTTGGGATAGATGAATATGTGTCACCAAAAGAGACATTTCCAGCACTCCCTTTAGACATAACAGCATTTGCAGCAGCTAATCGTTGAGCCCACTCAGGCTTGCCATTCTTGGTCCAACAAGTGTCAACATTATGACCAGATTTGCCACAGTATGTACATTGACGACTGTCTTGATCAGAATTATATCCACTACGTCCACCACCACGGCCACGGCCTCCCCCTGAACCGCGACCTCTATTAGAAAATCCACCACGACCACGACCACCACTACTAGCCAAAAGTGCTAAACTGTCTTTAGATGATGTAGAACATGAAGGAACAATGCGCTGAATTTGACAAAATGCTTCATTCATAGAGGGAACTTTCTCTTCAGCAAGAAGCTGGCTTTTCACAGGTTGCAAGTCAGTATTCAATCCAGATAAAAACTTGGCCACTTGAAATTCAACCCGTTGTGTCTTTAGTCTCTCAAGATCAGAAGTGATGGGCTGATAAAGATTGAGTTTTTCCCACATGCCTTTCAAAGCACTATAATACTCTCTAAGAGATTTGTCCCCCTGTTTAAAATTAAATATCTTATCATATAATTCATAGACTCTAGACATGTTTTTGTCTTGTGAGTAGCTCTCCATAAGATCATCCCACACTCCCTTGGCAGTTTTGTGGAACATAACATTAGTAACAATGGGTGGTTCCATGCTGTTCCATAACCACACATAAAGTGTATCATTCTCTCTCATCCAGTCACCATAATCTTTACATTCTACAGCAGGGGGTCTGTCGTAAGATACCTAAGTTTCCCTTTGGCATTAATATAGACCTTAACGGCTTGAGCCCTTAACAAGTAATTAGAGGCCCCATTTAATTTAATGGTGGTAATCTGAACATTAACACTGTCTGTAGAACCCTTAGTATCACTCATGGTGATAATCTCAATATAAATATATCTACCACAAATCAAGAAGACCAAAACTTCAGTGCAAGAAATAAAACAGCCTTTGGCTCCATAAAATCAATACCGACAAATGATTAGAAGCAATTGGCTCCATTGATTTCATAAAGGGGATGCTCAAATCTCAGAAATATAGGCTGTTGTATAGAAGAAAAATATCTCACCAAGAAAAAAAATCCCCATTAAATTAATTATATTTTCAATGGAAATCCTGCAACAACGATCATAATCAACGAAAAATTATGATCCTTGAATCCGCTAATCAGTAAGTGTTGTAATCCGTAGTCGCAAACAGAACCTAGTGGATCTGATTTCTCCTGGTCTTATATGTATCAAAACTAGAAGAGAAAAATAGGTGGAACTTAGAGCTTTGGGTGGCTGCGCACCAGAGAAGAAAAGTGTTATTAGGGGACTCTCAAACCAGCAGTAGGATCAAGGAATCGGGTGATTAGATCTGCTCTGATACCATGTGACAAAGCTATTTTGAGAATTGCGGTAAGTAGACGAGAGAAGATGGAAGAGAGGAGAAATAGAGAGAAGAAGAAAAGCGGAAGAAACATATCGTAAAAGCCAACAAGGGGCTAACGGCTTCAGTTACTGAAGCCCTACTCCTATCGCTTATATTGAATATAAATTGTATATGACCAAAATACCCTTACGTAGATAAAAAGAAATAAAACCCAGAAAATAAAATTAAAAGCACTCAAGTAACGTAACAGTATATATATTCATTAGTAGAAAAGAAGGCCTCGTCATAAGGCACTACCTCACAGTTTCTTGCATAATGTTCCATCCTCTCGCATGAGTAGCAGAATTGAGGGAGTCGTTCATACTTAAAATCCAGCTAGTGCTCTTTTCCCCGAAAACCAGAAATCATCCTAGAGAGTAAAACCCCCTGTTTCATACTTAAAATCCAGCTAGACAGCTTCAATGTGACTCTTGCTCTTCCTACTACAATGGACGCAAAACCCCCTGTTTCAATTTTAACCTCAGAGACATTACCCACGAACTCAGCAATTTTTCTCATAGCTTCTTCCGTCCTTCCTTCTATAGGTAACCCATAAATTTGCATCCAAAAGGCACAAGAATCAAATGCGATACGATGGGGAGGTGTGCTTAGCTCCCAAGGTTTTAAGACAAGAAGATGTCTCGAAAAAGACCAAGGGCCAGAATTTAATATTCTGTCTTTCTCCTCTATTGAAGGGAACTCAAAGGAGAATAAGCCTAGTTGAAGATGCTTGCACGCAATACTTGTTGATTTCCATGCTTTTAACATCGTAGATTGGAAAGCTTGGAAGTTGACATTAGGGTTTCCGTACAGACTACCAAATAAGGTACGTTCACATTCTACAAGTTTATCCTCAATCACTACTTCATCTAGACTAGCTATCTTCCTTTCCACCCATAAATGCCCTAATCTTCTACAAAGAGCAGCCATACGCCTTGCTGCTTCATTTTCTGTTCCCATTTTGTTTAACTCAAATCACAAGCTCGATCGCTTACTTTCAGGAATAATCGGGGAAGCAACCACCAGAGTTTTCATCTGAAAAGCTGCATTCTGAGAGTTTTCTGAATAAGACACATCGAGAAGAGAGCCAATACCATCGACCCAAAACCAGATTCAAATCACTGTTCACGAAGCCTCCATTCACGAGATAAGCAGCATTCTCTTCAAAGCCGTGCGTGTAATTTTGAAATGAGCCAGTACATGCTATTTTTATAATCCATATGGAAAACTGTGCTGTGTAATTGAGAAATAGCTGGGATAGAAGAGTGGTGATACTAGGGCTAGCACTACAAAAAAAGTTGGTTTTGGCGACAAATTTTACCACGAAAAATTTGGCAAAATTCGTCGCTAAACTAATTTGCGACGAAATTAGCGACGGAAAAAAATTCGTCGCTAATAGGCCGTCGCAAAATTTTGCGACGGAAAATTTCAATTTTCGTCGCTAATTTGCGACGAAAATAAATTCGTCGCTAATTTGCGACAAAAAAAAATTCGTCGCAAAATTCATCGCTAACTATTCGTGAAAAAATTTGTGGCAAATTTGCGACGAAAAAAATTTCGTCGCAAATTTGTCGCTAATTATTCGTGGCAAAATTCGTGGCTAATTTGCCACGAAAAAAATTCTGGCAAAATTCGTGGCTAAATATTCGTGGCAAAATTCGTCGCTAATTTGCCACGAACTGTATTCGTGGCAAAATTCGTCGCTATTTTTTTCAAATTTTTTTTTGTTGGTCGCGAAATTGCGACGAAATCTTTTCGTGGCAAAAATCGTTGCTAATTATTCGTGGCAAAATTTGTGGCTAAATTGTCACCAAATTTTTTTTTTTAGTTTTTTGCGACGAACTTATTTGTGGGTAATTTGCCACGAACACATTTCGTGGCTAATTTGCCACAATTTTTTTTTGTCAGTTTTTTGTGACGAAATTATTCGTGGCTAATTTGCCACCAATTTTTTTTTTGGTCAGTATTTTGCGACAAACTTATTCGTGGCAAAATTTGTCACTAATTTGCCAAGAAATTTTTTTACTTTTGCCACGAACATTGTTCCGAAACGAATTTGGCGACGAATTTTAATGAATAATTTAGTGACAAAGTCTGCGACGAATGTTGTTTAGGGACGATTTCGATTTGAAATCTAATTAACAACAATTATAGAATTTATATTTAACATTGATAGAATCACAGTCAAGACAAGAACAAACACAAAAAAGAAAGAAATGGAACAAAGCACTAAGAAGTTCGCTCTCTTGTTGCAAACTGTTGATCTTGCCAAGAAGTTCTTTCACGTAGTCACGTAGTCTATAGTGTCTCCAAGAATCGAAGTCCTGTCCATCTGCAACGCAAACATCACAATATCAAACTCCTAACCGCTCTTAATTTTTTCACATCTATTCAACAGCAGAAAGAGGGTGTTAAAAAAAGAATATATTAGGCTATGCTCACACAAAAGACTAATTCCAAAGGGCATGTAATAAATGCAACAACTAATAACTTGTCTTATAAATAAATAGATAATGCTGAAGCAAGCTTACCTTCGAGTTTGGAAATTTTAACTAGCAAAGATCAGCATCATCATCAGCATCATCATCAGCAATGTCATTATCATTGTGTCGCTCATCATTGTGCCCATCACCTACTGGATTAGTGGGAGGTACAGGAGGAACGTCATCGTGATCGAGGTTGAGGTGTCGCATGATCAATTGGTTGAGGTGTCGCATGATCAATTGCAAATGTTGTTTCACTCCTCTTATTTTTTCGTCTTTCTGTACAAGTAAATGTTTCAGTTGGTTCAATTCTTGGGTCATTTGCTCCTCGTGTTGTGTCCTCCTAAAAAAAGCCGCATTGGAGGATGAAGTTGCAGCAGTCGGCGTTGTGTATATCCTTGATAAGGATCCCATCCCAAATATTTGACGTCTTCTCATTCCACCCGATGCCTCCACCCATAATGTCATACTGTCAACTGATGGCTCGGACGCAGCAACACCATTACCATCACCACTAGCAGCAGTGCTCATTACAAGTTTATCATAGTTGTCCTAAATTAACAATATATATGAAAATAAAAAAACTTCATATATATAAATGCAAAATATAATCTTACATATCTTAATAGCTTTTGCTCGATTGCCAGTCCATGTCTTATCTTTTTTCTGAAATGTGCGTTCAAATGTAGCTATAAATGTCGGTTCCGTCCCCAATTCATCTGCCTACAAAATATAAACATAAATGAGTAATCATTTAATTAACTTACAACATGTTTAATAGACTTACAATTCTTTTTCTATGCTCCCTGATGTTGATAGAGCTCCCAGCATATGTAGCAGACCCTTTACTAGAACTTGAAGCTTGATTCTTCTTATTTATTTCACTGATTTGCTTATACTTTTCGGTGTCCCAAGTTCTCTTAATTTTCGCCCAATTGTCAGCTGTAATAAAATCTGGCTTTTCTTGACTTCTCTTTGCTCTATTCATCACATTTCGCATGTGATCACCGGCTTTCTTCTTAAAAATTCTTCTAACCTCTTTCTCTTCTGCTTCATCTCACCTGAACTTCCGCTGCAAGCAATCAATAGAAAAACAATTGTACACTCAGTATGCTAAACCGAAGTTAGTTTGTGAGAAAATAGAAGGACAAAACTTACCTTGAACTCATTCTACCACAATTCCTTTACTTTTTTTGGAGCGGTGGTCCAACTACTATACTGCCCCATCCAACAGTTATTAATTATTTTATTAAGTTTCCTCACAACATACGTAGCATCCGTGAATCTGCAAACAGGTTATAACGATGTCAACATACGTAGCATCCGTGAAGTATACGGACAATTCAGTTGACATCCATAATAATTTACATATACTTAAAAAAATGAAGTACTTATGAATCTCCAAATGGGGATATCATGAATCGGCTATCTTCTTCATCATTCGAGTGTTGCATTGAAGAAGAAAGTGGAACTGAAAGTGATGGAACTGAAGTAAATTCAGTTCGCATTTGAGGATCGGAGAAAGGGTCAATGTGTCCATCAACATGTACTGGTTGAGAGTTAGATGAAAGGGCAGGGAAAGAGGAAAGGGACAGGGACGAGGACGAGGAAGGGGAAGGGCATGGTCTTCTATGTGAAGCTACACCACGACGCATGTGACCTTCACGTTTATACTAACAAGTTGGAAGGTTAGACAAATATGTTAAAAAATATAAACATGTATTAGGGACACATAATGATGTACGTCGTGAAGCTTATCATTTTGTTTTTTAAAGCAAGAGATAAACTTGGCCCCTGATAAAAAGCAAGCTGTCCGGAAATGTTTACGACCTTAATTTCTGGTCGTACAACAGTAAAATAGGGAGTTGCAGTCCAATATTCATCAAAAGAATTGAAGCAAACAGCAAACATAATTGGTCGGTGGCAGCAAATAGCCCAATATTCATCAAAACAAAAGAAAATTAACTTCCAGCCACTAGAGTTGTAGCAATAAGAGCTAAACAACACTACTTGTTGCGACAGCTTCCCAACTACCAGCTTTGATATCAATGCCCTGCCCAGAACTAAACACCTTGAACTCAAGATCCAGCAAGAGGACATACCACACAGTATTTGCCAAAAATCAAAAGGTTGGCCTTCCCTGACTTCCCTTTCTGGTATTCGCCCAAATCGCGGTCCGCCACACCTGTTACAACAAATCTACATGAGACGACCCACATTATAGCCTATTTTTTATTGGTTTCAATATTTAAACCTAGATATAAATAAAATAATAATGAAATGACTCCGAAACGCAAAAAAAAACTCAAATCGAACTGAAATCATTGTTCATTCAGAATGATTTTTTGCTCAAAAACCCATGTAAACGACTCCGAAACAACGAAAAACGACTTACCAAATTTCACTTGACTGACCAAATTTCAGCTCATTCCGATCAAATTTCAACCCAAATTCGACCAAATTTCAGCTCATTTCGATCAAATTTCAACCTAAATCCGACCAAATTTCAACCTAAATTTGAGGAATTTGATTCTATTTCGTGGGCGAAATAGAACCATTCTATTTCGCCCACGAAACATAATCAAATTCGTGGGCGAAATAGAACCATTCTGTTTCGCCCACGAACAGAATGAAATTCGTGGGCGAAATGGACCCAATCTGTTTCGCCCAACGTCCAACAGCAGACCCAACACAATGGTTCTGTTGTCCAACAGCAGACTCAAGCTAAGTCGTTCAACAGAAGTAAAAACAGCAAACCTAACACAAACAACAAAAGCAGAAGTAGAAGCAAACGTCCACAAAAAAATTTAGAGAACGTACCTCAAACTCTCGGACGACGATCCTCGCGCTAGGTGTCCTTGCGCTTCCTAGCGTCCGCCGCCGAAGAACGCCGAGAATCGCGCCGAAGGTCGCCGAGAATTGTTCGAGAGAGAGAGAGAGACAGAGAAGAGGGAGAAGTTCAAGAGAAGAAAACCCTAGATTGTTCGATCGAGACAGAGAAGAAACCCTAAATTCTACCCGCAAATGAAGACGACGCCGTTTTGCTAATTTCCGCCGAAATTAGCCACGGATTAAAATTCGTGGCTAATATCGTGGCAAATTAGCCACGGATTCAAATTCGTGGCTAATTCCGTCGCACGTTAGCCACGAATTTTATTCCGTGGCTAATTTCGTTCTCTAAATTTTTTTGTGGATGTTTGCTTCTGCTTCTGCTTCTGTTGTTTGTGTTGGGTCTGCTGTTTTTGCTTCTATTGGACGACTTAGCTTGGGTCTGCTGTTGGACAATAGAACCATTGTGTTGGGTCTGCTGTTGGACGTTGGGCGAAACAGATTAGGTCTGTTTCGCCCACGAATTTCATTCTGTTCGTGGGCGAAACAGAATGGTTCTGTTTCGCCCACGAAACAGAATTCTAATCTGTTTCGCCCACGAATTTCATTCTGTTCGTGGGCGAAATAGAATGGTTCTGTTTCGCCCACGAAACAGAATCAAATTCCTCGGATTTAGGTTGAAATTTGGTCTGATTTAGATTGAAATTTGGTCGGAATTAGCTGAAATTTGATCGGATTTGGGTTGAAATTTAGTTGAAATTCGTTTGAAATTTGATCGGAATGAGGTGAAATGTGGTCGGAATGAGCTGAAATTTGGTCGATCAAGTGGAAATGGCCCTCTGATCCAAAATCACCACCTTCGACCGTGACGTAAGTCATTTTTCGGCGTTTCGGAGTCGTTTACATGGGTTTTTGAGCAAAAAATCATTCTGGATGAATAGTGATTTCAGTTCGGTTTGAGTTTTTTTTTGCGTTTCGGAGTTGTTTCATTATTATTTTATTTATATCTAGGTTTGAATATTGAAATCAATAAAAAAAAATAGGCTATAATGTGGGTCGTTTCATGTAGGTTTGTTGTAATAGGTGTGGCGGACCGCGATTGGGGCGAATACCAGAAAGGGAAGTCAGGGAAGGCCGGCCTTTTGATTTTTGGCGAATAGTGTGTGGTATGTCCTCTTGCTGGATCTTGAGTTCAAGGTGTTTAGTTCTGGGCGGGGCATTGATATCAAAGCTGGTAGTTGGGAAGCTGTTACAACAAGTAGTATTGTTTAGCTCTTATTGCTGTAACTCTAGTGGCTAGAAGTTAATTTTCTTTTGTTTTGATGAATATTGGGCTGTTTGCTATCACCGACCAATTCTGTTTGCTGTTTGCTCCAATTCTTTTGATGAATATTGGGCTGCAACTCCCTATTTTACCGTTGTACGACCAGAAATTAAGCTCGTAAACATTTTCGAACAGCTTGCTTTTTATCAGGGGCCAAGTTTATCTCTTGCTCTAAAAAATAAAATGGTAATCTTCATGACGTACATCATTATGTGTCCCTAATACTTGTTCATATTTTTTAACATATTTGTCTAACCTTCCAACTTGTTAGTATAAACGTGGAGGTCACATGCGTCGTGGTGTAGCTTCACAAAGAAGACCAGGCTCTTCCCCTTCCTCGTCCTCGTCCTCGTCCCCGTTCCTTTCCTCTTCCCCCGCCCTTTCATCTAACTCTCAACCAGTACATGCTGATGGACACATTGGCCCTTCCTCCGACCCTCAAATGCGAACTGAATTTACTTCAGTTCCATCGCCTTCGGTTCCACCTTCTTCTTCAATGCAACACTCGAATGATGAAGAAGATAGTCAATTCATGATATCCTCATTTGGAGATTCGTAAGTACTTCATTTTTTTAAGTATATGTAAATTATTATGGATGTCAACTGAATTGTCCGTATACTTCACGGATGCTACGTATGTTGACATCGTTATAACCTGTTTGCAGATTCACTGATGCTACGTATGTTGTGAGGAAACTTAATAAAATAATCAATAACTGTTGGATGGGGCAGTATAGTAGTTGGACCACCGCTCCAAAAGAAGTAAAGGAATTGTGGTGGAATGAGTTCAAGGTAAGTTTTGTCCTTTTATTTTCTCACAAACTAAGTTTGGTTTAGCATAATGAGTATACAATTGTTTTTCTATTGATTGCTTGCAGCGGAAGTTCCGGTGGGATGAAGCGGAAGAGAAAGAAGTTAGAAGAATTTTTAAGAAGAAAGCCGGTGATCACATGCGAAATGTGATGAATAGAGCAAAGAGAAGTCAAGAAAAGCCGGATTTTATTACAGCTGATAATTGGGCGAAAATTAAGAGAACTTGGGACACCGAAAAGCATAAGCAAATCAGTGAAATAAATAAGAAGAATCGAGCTTCTAGTTCTAGTAAAGGGTCTGCCACATATGCTGGGGGCTCTATCAACATCGGGGAGCATAGAAAAAGAATTGTAAGTCTATTAAACATGTTGTAAGTTAATTCAATGATTACTCATTTATGTTTATATTTTGTAGGTAGATGAATTGGGGACGGAACCGACATTTATAGCTACATTTGAACGCACATTTCAGAAAAAAAGATAAGACATGGAGTGGCAATCGAGTAAAAACTATTAAGGTATGTAAGGTTATATTTTGTATTTATTTATGAAGTTTTTTTTATTTTCATCTATATTGTTAATTTAGGACAAATATGATGAACTTGTAATGAGCACTGCTGCTAGTGGTGATGGTGATGGTGTTGTTGCTTACGAGCCATCGGTTGACAGTATGGCATTATGGGTGGAGGCATCGGGTGGAATGAAAAGAGGTCAAATATTTGGGATGGGATCCTTGTCAAGGATATACAAAACGCCGGCTGCTGCAACTTCATCCTCCAATGCGGCTTTTTTAAGGAGGACACAACACGAGGAGCAAATGACCCAAGAATAGAACCAACTTAAATATTTACTTGTACAGAAGGACGAAGAAATAAGAGGAGTGAAACAACATTTGCAATTGATCATGCGACACTTCAACCTCGATCACGATGACGTTCCTCCTGTATTTCTCACTAATCCAGTAGGTGATGGCCACAATGATGAGCGATACAATGATAATGACATTGCTGATGATGATCTTTGCTAGTTAAAATTTTCAAACTCGAGGGTAAGCTTGCTTCAGCATTATCTATTTATTTATATGACAAGTTATTAGTTGTTGCATTTGTTACATGCCCTCTGGAATTGGTCTTTTGTATGAGCATAGCCTAATATATTCTTTTTTGAACACCCCTCTTTCTGTTGTTGAATACATGTGAAAAAATTAGGCGTGCGTGGGAAATTTTTTTCAAATTCGTGGTAAATTTGCCACGGATTTAGCTATGAATTTCATTTCTACTAGCCTTTAATGAAATTCGTGGCAAATTTGCCACGGATTTAACCACGAATTTGAAAAAAAATGAATTTGGCGTGGGCATTTTTTTTCAAATTCGTGGCTAAATTCGTGGCAAATTAGCCACGAATTTGAAAAAAAAATGAATTAGGCGTGTGGGTATTTTTTTTTAAATTCGTAGCTAAATCAATGGCAAAATTTGTCACGGATTTAGCTACAAATTTGAAAAAAGATGAATTAGGCGTGTGTGGACATTTTTTTTAATGAAATTCGTACCCACGAATTTCATTAAAGGCTAGTAGAAATGAAATTCGTGGCTAAATTCGTGGCAAATTTGCCACGGATTTGAAAAAAATTGAATTAGGCGTGTGTGGGCATTTTTTTTAAATTTGTGGCTAAATACGTGGCAAATTTTCTACGGATTTAGCCACGAATTTCATTAAAGGCTAGTAAAAATAAAATTCGTGGCTAAATCCGTGGCAATTTAGCCACGAATTTAAAAAAAAAATGTCCACACGCCTAATTCATTTTTTTTCAAATTCGTGGCTAAATTCGTAGCAAATTTGCCACGGATTTAGCCACGAATTTCATTTCTACTAGCCCACACACGCCTAATTCATTTTTTTTCCCGACAATAACGTTTCAGTAACAATAATAACAATAATAATAATCAACAACAACAATAATAATTATAATAATAATAACAATAATAATAATAATAACAACAATACTAATAATTGCGACAACAATAATACTAATAAATATGACAACAACAATAAACTCTTGTCGTAATAGTAATAATGATAATTACGACATAATTAGTAAAAAGTCTCAAAAATCTAAATCTTCATCTTCTTGACCTTCGTCTTCATCTTGATCTTCATCTTCTTCATGAGCATCATCGTCGTCATCCTCTGTCTCAAAATCAGATTCTGCAACACCTTCTAAATTTGATTCGCGAATTTCAGTTAGATCTACATCTATCATTGCTCCACATGGATTTCGTAGAGTTGGAATGTTATATTCCTCATTTTGAACCGTGTTACAAACTTCCTCTTGTTGATATGCTGTATCCTTCCAGTGTTCCTCGATTTTTCTTCGTGCTTTGGTTTTACATACAGCCCACCAATCAGTTTTGTCACGTTTCAAACTAGGATATGATACATAATATACTTGAATTGCTTGTTGTGCCAATACAAATGGTTCATATTTCATATACATTTTCTTGTGATTTATTTCAACCAAATTAAACTTCGTATGCACCTTCATTCCTTTGACGGGGTCGAACCACATGCACTTAAATAACACAACCCGCATTAATGGTCCGGGGTACTTTATCTCCATGATTTCATCCAACAAGCCATAAAAATCATCTTTTGAACTGCCACCATTGGATGACCGAACACACACCACTATTCATTGTGGCTTTTCCTATTTCATATTCTTGAGTGTGAAAATTATACCCGTTTATGAAATATACTGACCAAGTTCGTACTCTTGACTTTGGATCCCATGATAGATGATATAGCAATCATTGCTCTTCAACTTAATCATGATTACTGTGAACCTAAGGTCACACACGCAAAGTCAATAATATATATTTAAATGATGTATAAAATATTAATAACTTGATTTTGGTCCATAGGCAACTTACATATATTTTGAACCATGCTGCAAATTGTTCATCGCATAGACGGTTAAACTCATTTGGTGGTAGTCTATACATTGAAGTTTGAAAAATCCTATTAACAATTTACATTTATATATTAGTAAATATTCGACACGCAATACATATACACTTACTCGAAGTATGGCTCTACTTCTGGACAGTTTAGTAAAATATATGTATGGGCTGTCCGCCGTTCTTCGCCTGTTAAGCAACGAAACTTACATGCGCCGCTTGGTCGATCGAGATAATTGAAAATAGAGAATGATTTGCAATTGGGATCAATGGGACCCTCATCATTTCTTCCTGCTCTCCGCCTCTTGCACTGCACGTACGGCTCAAAATAGTATGATGCAAATGTTGTCACTTCTTCCATAATTTATGCATTACAAATTGAAGCTTCAACACATGTCTTATTTTTCACTTTTTTCTTCGAATGATATAAGAATCTTGTTGCAATAGAAAGAAGTTTATCAGAACATAATATATAATAAAGTATTTTGAAATTTATTTTAAAAATTTTTTTACCTCTCAAATGGATACATCCATCGAAATTGGACAGGACCTGCAACTTTGGCCTCATAAGGCAAGTGAACTAAGAGATGCTTCATTGAATAAAAAAACGATGGAGGAAATATCCTTTCTAAGTTGCAAAGAATAATTGGAATGTCTCTCTCTAGTTTCTACATATGTGATGCTTTTAGCACTGTTGAACAAATATCATGAAGAAAATTACTTAATTCTGTAATGGCGCCCTATACAAAGTTTGGTAGAAGTTCCTTGAAAGCTATTTGAATTAGTCTTTCCATAAATATGAGACAATTATGACTCTTTAATCCTGTCAACTTGCATTCGTTCAAATCAACACATCTCCCGATGTTCGAAGCATATCCATCAGGAAACCGCACAGATTTCAACCATTGACAAACGACTCGTCTCTGCTCCTTATCCAATGTATAAACTGCTTTTGGTTTTTGGTCCCCTGCTGCTTGCATCCACGTCTAGTGTTGGCCGATCATAAATATCTCTCATATCTTTTCTTGCATTCAAGTTGTCTTTTGTTTTTCTAGTGACATCTATCATAGTATTTATGACATTGTCGAAAATATTCTTTTTAATGTGCATGACGTCAAGATTATGATGAATAAGATGGGCCTTTCAATATAGTAGATTCCAAAATATACTGCGTTTAGTCCACTTATGTGTACTTCCGTACGCAATAGTTATGCCATGAGGATTTTCAATAACAGTTGGAAAGTCCTGCACTTTGCTTCCAAATTTGATCACCGGTCAACCTCAATGGTGGAGGTGTTCTTTCAATCATATTCTTGATGAACTCTTTTTTATTCCTTCTGAATGTATGATTCGTCGGCAAAAATTGTCTGTGACAGTCAAAATAGCTGGACTTTTTACCATGTCTTAATCTGAATGACTTCGATTTCTCCAAACATATCGGACATCCTAAGATCCCAGCTGTACTCCATCCAGATAACATTCTATAAGCTGGAAAGTCATTTATCGTCCAAAGAAGAACAGCCTTAATTACAAATGTTTGATCAGTAGAAACATCATACGTAACTACACCTTCATCCCATAGCCGTTGTAACTCTTCAATCAATGGTTGCATATAAACATCTATCAACTTTTTCGGATTTTGCGGGCCAGTCACAATCAATGTCAAAAACATATAAGGTGTCTTCATGCATATACCGAGTGGAAGATTGTACGGAGTTAAGATAACTGATCAACATGAGTAACTTTTTCCTGATTTTTCAAATGGGGCAAATTCATCAGCACAGAGACCTAACCTGATGTTTCGAGACTCTATCACAAACTCAGAGTATGTTCTATCAAAATGTTTCCATGCCTCTGCATCTGAAGGATGACACATTAGACCCTCTTTTGTTTCATGATTTGCATGCCAAGTCATGTGTTCAGCAGTGGCTTGAGACGCATAAAGCCTTTGCAATCTGGGAATTAAGGGCAGATAAAACATTTGATTGCATGGTCTACGCTTCTAATTACGACCCTACCTCCTGTTAATCTTGTACCTAGGTTAGCTACAGAATTTGCAAGATTCTGCATTTTCATCATCTCTCCAATATATCATACAACCCCTACTACATACATCAATCCTTTCAATTGGAAGACCTAAGTTATCCACTAACTTCTTCGTATCGTAAAAATCACTTGGCATGATGTTATCACGAGGCATTGTTTTTCGCATTACTTCAACAAAAGAGTTGAAGCAATTCTCAGACACATTATGCTCTGCCTTGATATTTAACAATTTTGCTGTCACTGATAACTGAGTGCGGTTGTCACAACCTGCCCATAAAGGTTCATCTGCTGCTTTCAACACTTCCCGGAATTGATTAGATGGAAACGTTTCATTACACATTCTCATCAAAACCTGTTACTCCTATGTCTTTCAATTGT